CGATGTCTCTCGGTTGACTGTCCCGATCGCAATTCCGACCTTAAAAAATAAGAAATCAAATAAATTAATTAGAATGCATGCCTATGAAAATAAAAATAAAACATAAAATTAAAGAAAAATATGAAAAACAGTAAAGCTCGGGTTGCCTCCCGAGAAGCGCTAAATTTTAAGTCTTCAGCCAGACTTTGCTTCTTGACATTGTTATGTCCAATCCAAAGCCTTGTAGATTGCGCATCCATCCATGAGCTCTATCACTTCAATTGCAACCAAGACATGGATAGCACTGCAATATGTCACGGTCCACCTTAGCTTGTAGTCTTTTTTGGTTGTAATCAATCGGTACGAAGCCAAGATGGGATCTTCATCACCCGCTCCCTCAAATCGGTATACAAAAATCTCCAGTCTGCGTATAACCTCCACCTCAAAAATATTAGTCTTCTCATCAACCACTATTGATGCCTTCAAATCCACATTTATATCAACGACAGAGCCCACAACTAGAATATCTTCAATCATTACATCCATCTCCTTCTTCTCTTGTTCTGAGGCATCTTCGTGGTTTAGCTCGACTGCCTTCTCAGATTCATCATGCTCAAGTGTCTTCGTAATTTCTATTTCTCTCACATCGACACTATATTCCGGACATAGAAGATTTTTCTCACCGCAGGCTTCACCCGAATTTTCTTTGATATAACCATTGCCGATTTCGTCTGGAATATTATCAAGAGATTCGGATTTTAATTTGAGCGTCATCTCTTCCAGTTGTATCTCCATGTTTCGAAATGATGCTTGAGTGGACTTCATGAATTCGGCAATGAGGGATACCAAATCAAGTTGTTCATCAGTGGTTTGTTGCTGCGAGGGATAATAATTTTGAAAATCAGAAAATTGTGGCTCTCTATGTTGAAACTCGTTCAAATCTTGGTCTTGAAAGTTTTGCTCGTATGTGTTGGTGTAAGTGTTCCAATGACCTGCGTTGGTAATTTCGACGAAATTTGTCGCTTTTGGTGATCCCCAACATTGATCGGAATAATGATTTTCACCACATGCTGAACAAAACGGAGGCATATCACAGGTGTTTTGGAGGTATTCGTTACTTGGAAGCCATTCATATCCCGTTTGAGGTGCTCGAAGATTGTAACCAGACATGTAACAAAAACAAAAAAATAAAAATTAAAAATAAAACTAAAAATAAAATTTAAATGGCTGAAGTAAAAAAAATTGGTAGGATCTGGTATCAGCTGTCCTAAAATCAAGTGTACGTGATATTCAATTTTGAATCGCCCATACCTAGTGTTGGGTGCTAAATACCAACACGCAAGTGCACGTATCGCAAACAAGTAATAAAGTGGACTCGTGAGAGTCGGATGTCGATCCCACAGGGAATACGAAAATTACCTAATCCTAAGTACCAAATTCTAACAATTATGATTTTTATCCAGCCTACGCAAGTTTGTCAAATTAAATCAATTAAACAACTAAACTAATAAAGAAATCAAATAAACACGAGAAGATATCAATAAAACGGACCTAGGATTTTATCTTCCCCCTATGCAAGAATTGCTCACCCAAAACCCCTCAATTATGAAATATATGATTCATGATTATTAACCCGAGACACTAATTTACTCATAACCCGCTGTCGCGTGTATTATGAGTCTATTATTCATAAACGGTTCACTATATGTCTATGCAAACAAATTATGAATAAAGCATTAACTAACAAGTCTCGTAAATAGCTACCTAAGGTGATATCTGTATGTCTACGACACCACATGCAATTGACACTCTCATTCGGTGAAAACTACTCGAAGGCTCTTCTACTTACCGTCTAATTATCAAAATAGCTCTGTCGAGTCAATCCTAATAATCACAGATAAAGCACATAAATTGATCAAGTTCATGCACTAACAATCATAACAAGTAGAAGAAATAATCATAAAATCATAATTGCATAATCTCAAGAAAACGGGTTCACCATCCCCACATAGGGTTCAAATAAAATCCTAGATTAAAAGCTTAGCTACTCGTAATTCTTATGATAAACAAAATAAAAATAAAAGAAATAAGAAAAACTATGTTTGAGTCTTCGTTGATCTTCGTTCTTCGTGTTATGTGGTGTAAAATTTCGTGGTTATGGTGTAGAGACTTGTTGCTTTTATAGGCTTTTCTTGATAAGGAAGTAGTAGAAACCTAATAGGAATCAATTTCCGCCACTTTCCCCCATCAGGATTTGTTCGTCGATTTGTGCCATGTTGGAGTCCGAATTTTGGAATGTTGTGTAAATAAGAATTGTAACCCTTGAAATTATCTTTCCAATGCCGTCAAAATCACCTAATTCGGAGTTCGTATGAGAGAGATATCCTCGAAATGGTGGACACTGTCAAAGCTGTGGCGAGATTTTTTCTTCCAATTTGATTTGTTTCCTTATTTGCAATTTTTTTCCTTTCTTTTTGATCTTTTTTCCTTCATGGACACCTAATTCTCGTTTTTCACCTATAAAACACAAAATCAATCAATCAAAGCACAAATATAATTAAATCTAAACAAAAGATCCACGTAAAGTAAACGTATTGAGTGTAAAATCTACACTCAACACCTAGGCCTCGTGATATGCGCCCATGACATTCGATTATGAACCGTCATAATATATATATATATATATATATATATATATATATATATATATATATATATATATATATATATATATAGAGAGAGAGAGAGAGAGAGAGAGAGAGAGAGAGAGAGAGAGAGAGTTACGATGAAATATCATATCCAAGATTTAAATATAGATTGGGTAAATTACGATTACCTCTTGAGGTAAGGTTAAATTATGAAAAATTCTCTCATGTTTGTATAATTATCCCTCAACTATGAATCTTCTTACATATTCATCCTTGCAGTGTCAAATTTAGTAGAATCTTCTAAATTATATGAAATATTCTCTAGTTTGTACCCGTTTTTACTCTATTCAAGCTCTACATGATTTTGAACAAAATGATCATAGAATGTGTCTCTTGGCTTTTACATATCAGATTATGGTGCATCATTGCATTTCCGCATAAAACAAGTACAAACTAAAGAACATTCCATAAAATCCAAAAAATTAAGTTGAACTTGCCACCGTAAAATTAAAGATACAAGAAAATTCATAATTTATGACAATTATTACCATTTTTTCATAATTTGATGTTACCCTATTAATTTTCCAATATAGATTCTTAAATCAAACTAAAACAAGCGGGTGTAACAAAACAATTACGTGCACACACGTGTTTGTCATGTGGTAAGACATCATTATTTTGTAGATTAATTAAATTTGATATTAAAGCAGAAAAGTTGAGATGAAAAATACACAAGCCACCTACTAGGTAGACCGGGGCCCCCCTGTGTGTTAGAACTATACAGTATTCAATACACGTGTAATGATTTCTAACAGTGTACGTATTTATTTGATTGACTGCTCAAACTTTTGCCACTGAAAATGCATGCATGCATACGTACTCTGATTACTGATACATGTCATCTATTTTTCAACCTGCATAAAATTTCGAGAAATCTTTTTTTGTCAAAATAAATGTGCGTGAAATATCATTTCTCACCATTCTTACAGGTTTGACATAAAAAAAATTATTTTATATATATATATATATATATATGTATTATGTAACGAATTATAATTCAGCTGAAATGGATTTGCCAGATCGAGCTTATGGCAGCCGACATTTTCTTTTATTAATATATATATTTTGTGAAGAATGTAATGTAGACTAACCCCCATAGTTTATGGCTTTTTGCAATTAGTATTTTTTTTCAACTGATTGAATTTTGTAATTAAAAAAATGAAATACTATTTGGTTTGAATTTGAAAAAAAAAATTGATTAAAACAGAATAATTAGTATGGGTAATTAACGAGTGAGAGATTTGTTTGGTGCACCCCACTGACCCGGCATATCATATATTGTGTACTTGCTTTTCTGCCTGTTTACTTTTTTTTTTTTTGTTTTTTCTTTTTATAAATAAAAGATTAATTAACATACAACTGGTTTCCATGATCAAATTAAAGAGTGTTGCTACATACATCAATATATATTTTAATCTGAAAAAGTCAATTGACTATCTTCAATTGTTTCCCTTTAAAACATTCTCTCCATCACCATCAAACAATTCACCATATTTTTCACTGTAAAAAAGATGGTTAATATATATATATATATAATAATAATAAAAATAATAACTCTATGTTGGAATAAAAATCTTAATAATAGTTACTGTATGTTGGATTAAAAAAATAAATGGGCTTTGATCCAGACCTAAAATATCTCCTAGAAAAGAGTCCAACAAGGCAAAATGTTTACACTCCTGTACTCCCCTTGCTACTGCATTTTACATTAATAGTCCAATAATTCTAAACATTTACTGTTCTGCCACTCCCTTATTACTGTTTAATTAATAATTTGCATAAAGAGATGTGATATAATATGCATGATTAACTTATATCGTGCATCACTATTTTTGTTTTTTCTCTCTCTCCAAGATCAGCGCAAATCACTCACCAATTATGTGTTGATTGCAATCAGACACATCCCTTTGGATGGTGGAATGAAAAACATTAATTATGATAAAGTCAAATACAATTAGCAAAAAGTTTATTGAATAACACATCTTGTTTGAGTATATATTATATACATATTTTACACATCAACATATATAAGTTTATTATTATCATCTACAACGACGGCTAGCCCCCTGAGGCAGGATAAGATCAAATTACGAAAACCCCTTTCTTTTTTGAGTATTACAACCATCCCTCTTAACTATGTATCGTTGTACACGTTCACCCTTACGAAGTTAATTTTATCGAGTAAATGAGGGGTTTTTTAGTAGGACAATACATAATTATTGGGAGTGGTTGTAATTACTCAATAAGGGATTTTTTTCGTAATTGCTCAAAGGGCTGGTCGTAATTTGCGCGTATAAGTATGCAATAAAATTGTAAGAATGTATAAAAATGTAACCGCAGTAAAGCTTTATTTAACTAATATCTATGTTACAAAATTTGTGGAATGGGTCATCTTTGGAGAAAATACTACACTAGTACAGCAGAATTCTCGAGCGAAATTCGACTTTTTTATTTCCAGAAAAACTCGAAAGCCCATTTTATTTTATTTTATTTTTCTAGTACAACATATACTAATTAACCACTTATTCCAGTAAGAGTGTTCGACATTGGACAAACCTTAAAAACTCCGGCACTCATTTCCTTACAAAGGAAACACCTTTATCAATGCTTCCCCCCAATTCTTTCTTCGCCGCTTCCAAGCCAGCCCTGATACAATACAGCTCCATGATTTAAATTTCAAATTTTTTTATAGAAAAGAAGATTATTTTTGACAAATTAAAATTCGCGCAAGACCTTTCGTATTCGTTTAGTGGACCGAGTGGGTAGATCTCCTCGACTCCATTACGCCCAAGACGCACTCTTGAAGCAAAGAACGGAAGTTCAGTTACCTGACAATTCGAAGAAAGTTTTTAAAAATAAAAAAATAAAAAAAAATCCTCCTATGTTGAAGAAGAGAATCTGACAAACTGAATCAGTAAATGAAAAAAAAAAAAACAAAACATGCCTGAGAAGATACAAATGCACATTCGATAACACCAGCATCTCCCCTCAATCCCCTCAAGCAAGCATCGGCAAATTTCACTGCTGCATATGCCTGCAAAATTTGATGTCTTTCAACTTTGCTCGTGATTCTACAACTAACATATACATATATATATACATACATTCATATATAACAATAGCAGCCTACCATTGAAAGAGTTGCAGAACCTGCACCTGCTTTGGCCTGGAAGAGAAGACGGTATATTATAATCAATTATTGTGGAAAATAATGAAGAGTGGGATAGCTGTCAGCTATTCGAACAATCCCGTTGGAGCTTGCTTGATAAGAATGATATGAATGCATAGGATATTGTTTCGTTGGATATGTACTCATGTTCCTAATACTAATAGTTTCTAGTAAAGTCGGGATTTAAATTTTGGTAGTTTAACACCCGTTCTCAACTGCAAAGCCTACATTTAACTCTAGTCTACAAGAAAAAAACAGGGCTCCGACATTCATTAAAGTATGCATAATTTAAGTATTAAATTCAACAATATTACCAAACAAGGTTTTAACGAGGTCCCTATTGAACATTCTCTATCAATAAAATCATTTTTGGCCAAAAAAAAACCTCAAGAACTACTTTTCATAGAACATCTTTTGCAAATGAAACGAGATCTAGAAGAAAACTCATTCTATACTTTTATGACGCAATAGAAGCATGTTTTTTTTTTAATTACTAGCACATAAGATTGCTCAATGACACAAACTAAGATCTCAAAAATTGCTCATCGTAAAGAAAAGGAATATTGATTTAGACCTCCGAACCAAACACTTAATCCTACCTCAACAACTTCCGTCCCGCCATTTTGGATGCGAGTTGTCAGATACTTGGTCTCTTCTTGTGTGAAAGAGCATGCAGGTTTTATCTACATACAATAGAAAAATGAAGTGAGACATGTAGTTACGAAATCTCTTACAAACAGTGAGGTTATGTTATTATCTTAACCTGGGAGAGAAGGGGTAAAATGGTCACACCAGCATGGCCTCCTACAACGGGAACATCAACTTCCCGTGGATCTAGCCCTAAAACTTCAGCCTTAATGTACAAAAAAGAGAAAAAAAAAAGTTATCTTTGACAGTTATTTTCAGAACAAAAAAAGAAAAAAAAAATCTATAGATGTTGACGAGAAAGTTCGAACCACAAATGTATTAGCTCTGACTACATCGAGCATTGTGACTCCTAGGAGCCGCCTCGGATCATAAGTCCCGGCCTTCTTGAAAACCTCTGCTGCAATTGGAACCGTAGAGTTCACCGGATTACTGATTACGTTAACAATTGCCTTAGGACAGCACTTAGCAATTCCTTCAGAAAGAGTCTTTACTATTCCCGCGTTAATGTTGAAAAGATCGTCCCTCGTCATTCCAGGTTTCCGAGGAACACCAGCAGGAATTATTACAAGGTCCATGCCAGTCAGTGCATCCTCCAACTGCGTTTGACCCACAAAACCGCGAACCTGAATACCGAAAAATGTAGTCAAGTTGAAAATCAAATATTGTTCTAGCATAATTATACAAAAATCGACGAAGATTACGATATTAGTTATTACCACAGCACCGGTGTCCATATGGCTGATATCGGAAGTGACACCTGGAGTGTTGACTACATCGTAGAGATGAAGCACCGAGACCAATGGATTCATCTTCATTAGCATTGATAAAGGCTGGCCTATGCCGCCAGCTGCCCCCAATATCGCCACCTTGAAGCCTGGCGAGCCTCCTTTTGCGCGGCAATCGGCACGCAATAAACTTGAACCGCCCTCCATCTTTTAAATCAGAAATCACACATAAATTATCAGCCCTAATTCTGACATTTCCCCCCTAAATTGACCGAAATTGGCAGGAATTTTGCAGGATCATAAAACTTTTTTTCTGCCGTATAAATTAAAGGCATCTTTGATTCAAAGGATCGGAACTGCAAAATCGATTCCCCTAATTTAATTTAATTTAATTTTCATTTCTTCAACATAATTTTCGTACCAAAAAGGCGTCTACGAAAACGAGTAAACTACATTTAAAAAAAAAAAGGTGGGAACTTTAAGCAATTACACTGATCTAGATCAAATACCGAGTTTTCAAATCACGGCGCGCGAAATTAATAAGGAATCAAAGAACAATAATGCACAGACCTGGAGATGATTAGTGGGAGGATTAAGGTGAGCTGAAATTCTGGCAATCCGGTGATGAATATCCGCACCCTGATTCATGATTCCGCTCAGAAATTCTTCTCCAAAAGCTCAGAGCAGCAAATTAATGGAGAATAGTATGATGATCTGATTCAGATTATGGGGAAATAGTATATGATCTGATGAAAGCGAACGGGAAGAAGAAGAAGATCGTTTGAGGTGGTGTATAACGTGTAAATATGAGTACTCAAATGGAATTATTTATATTAGATGGGGTAAAATAATAAATAGAGAAAGAAAGATGACGTCACGTCAAGCGGATGGCTCGTTGGGATGCGTGGATTTGGATTTGATTTTCGGGTGTTGGAATATGGGCTGGTTTAGTATTATCCTTTATACGTATTTTTCATTCAAAATAAATTATTTTTAATAAATTCATGTTCCTAACTAGCGGATTCTTTTTAATAGAATATATATATTAAAATTTCACCCGTCTGGTCAAATAAATAAATAGGTGTGCCGACTTGACAAAAACTCGAACTTGAGTTCGAGCTCGCGAGCTTTCTAATGAATCGAATTCAAACTTATTCTTAATTGTTCATGAGCTGGCGAGCCGAACTTTTTTAAATTATTACTTTTAAAATATTTAATATAAAATGAAATAATAAGGAAAACAATATTTTGGCCCAAAATCTCGTAGGGAGTTTCTTCAATATGCTAGCATCCAAAAAATGGGCTTCACAAGCCCAAGTTTAGAAACCAAGATGATCGTCAAATAAAAACCAATTCTAATTCTCTATATAGGAAAATAGGCAGAATTTCAAATTTTGGAATAATTTGTTTTAATTAACATATAATGTAAAATAAATATTAATATTGTAAGTGTAATTTCAAAAAATAATTTGAAATTATTGGAATTATTTTCAGAATTTAAGTCGAACGGAAATTTGATATTTCATATATATTTCCAATTTGTATCTAAGAACTTGAAAATATCATAAATTATTTTTTTGATATTTCATATATATTCCAATTTGTATCTAAAGAACTTGAAAATATCACAAATCATTTTTTTTTTAATTCAGAATTAAATATATTGTTTCAAAATCGAAAATTTTCTGATTTAAACCAATGAAATGCAAAACCTACGTTCCAATTTTCACCCCTTCATTCATGCCATTTGTGATGGAGTAGAAAAATACCCAACCCCTAATAGCCCATACATGAATCATTTTTTCATAATTTCAATTATTTCAAACTCAATGATTGGCCACATCATTTTTCATAATTTAAATTTTTAAAACAAAAAACTAGAATCCAAAGGACAAGTTAAATACAAATCTCTCAAAAACATGAATATGAGTTGTCACCATTATGCAAATTCCAAATTAAAATGAAATGAACGATTCATATACGAGTCAGGATTTTCAGTCGAGGAGGCCGAATACATAAAAAAAATCTGAAGTGGGAACTGTTAATGCTAGTATATACATTTTTTTATATTTTTATAGTACAAATTAATAGACACTTGAGAATTATTGGGGGCGAAAGCCCCCATGGTCTTATACTGGTTTCGCCACTGCATATAAGAGTAGTCGATAATTAAATGTCATGCCCACTATGTAGAGTGAGCAAGAGCAGACTACAAGGCAAGTTATTGAAACTTGTAAGAAAGTGGTGGCCTTCTAGAAGGAAAAAATAAATAAATAAATAAAAAGAAGAATAATTTGTGGAGTAATTCGAAGGTGCAAATGATTGATGTTTTGAGAATGCTGGAATTCTTTGACGTTTAAGGCACAATACCCATACTCTCCTTTTCAAACATGTAATAATTTCTAATATATATATTCATATATAACTAAAAAAATATCTTGAAAATTTTTGCAATTTATGAATCTAATTAATAAACCAGCGATTAATAATGGACTAAAACCTATGTTGCACGGACACGAATACGTGGACACGACGATACGCGGATACGGACACGGTGATCGGCATTTCCAAAAGTCTAGAATACGGACACACGGGGATACGCGTAAATATAAAAAAACATAGGGGTATAATTATAAATAATAAAAAACATAGGGGGTATATTTATAAATTGTAAAAAATCTGTATAAGTAGTCATCGTCATCGCATAAGAGAACCGCTCGCCCTTGTTGCTCGTGTTCTTGATCGCCGTCGCTGCCAGACTTTTGGAGTTTTGGGTGAACTCATAAAAAAAACAAAGTAAATGTGTATTAAAGAGAAAAAAAAATACGCATTTTTTTTATTAGGGTTATTTCTTAAAACGTCAGACAAGTGTCGTCCCAACTTTTTTAAAATTATGGACACTGCCTCACACGGATGTCCTACTTTTAGCGAAATTACGACACGGCCCGACACGGATGTCCGAGAAGTGTTCGAGTGTGTTCGAGTGTCCAGATGTCGGATACGAAGACTCTTCACCTTCTAGAAGTCTCAGTGCAACATAGACTAAAACAAAAGAATTAGAAAGACAACACGCGTGATAAGCCTAAACTTTAGAAACATATCACGTTGTGAACAATTAATTCCTGTTGTCTCTTATTGATTATGGATTAACAATAATATTAATTTCGAACATCGTCGCGTCAATAAATAGTTATTGATGTTAAGAAAACATAAAAAAAACAACAATAATAATAATAATAATAATAATAATAATAATAATAATAATAATAATAATAATAATAATAATAATAATAATAATAATAATAATAATGTTGAAAATCAACTTAATTAAATATTAGAGATAAATTAAACATTTTGGAGTATTTATTTACAAGAATGGAGATTATCGAAATCAACTTTGGATTATAATTCCAAATATCAAAGTTGATTTAAACAACAAAATTAATTTCTTTACTAGACAAAATTTTATATACTTGTACATGAGTTGAAAAAGTTTAGAACAGGGAAGAGTGTTCTTGACTAAAAATATTAGTTGTTTGATTATTTATTAATTATGGGACCAAATAAAACGACAAATCAACCATACAAGCCAAATACATTTCAATGTTGTTTGGCATATAATGCAACCTAAATTATTGTCCCTTGAAATTCTCCATCCATAAAAAAAAAGTATTAAATTAATAAATAATAATTTCACGAATAATCTATTGTTTAACTTTATAAGTTCATTACTAAGGGAAAAAAACATTAATTACTTTATTTAAGAAATTAGAAAATATGAAATACAAAAAGAGGGGTTGAGGAAGTAAAATCAAGTTGACGTGTCTTGACCGGCCCGAAAGCCGGAAACCAGTAAATGGGCGTCAATAAACAAAACAATGTAACAATACAAAACCCATTCTTATAAATAAAATAAAATAAAACAAAATATAAATAAAATAATATATATATATATATATAGAATGGACAAAAAATATATGTCCATTCCTCTTCCGGCGGGTCCCCTCTTTAAAACCACCCCACCTTCTCCGCCTTCTCCCACTCCCCAACGCCTCCGCTCCTCCGCCACATTATGGTGGAAGAGAGAGATAAACCATAAAGGGTAGCTCAAGGGCCAAATCGTAATTGTACTACTCTCTCTCTCTCTCTCTCTCTCTCTCTATATATATATATATATATATATATATATATATATATATATATATATACACACATTCACCAAATGCTGCTTACTCACACCCAACATATATATATATATATATATATATATATATATATATATATATATATATATTCACACAAACACAAGCATTTTAGAGAGAGAAAAGGAGAGAGAGAGAGAGAGAGAGTTGGTGGAACATGTTTTGGAAACCAAATGTGAAAATGAATTGAGTGCAGGAGAAGAATCATGGCTTCATCTTCTCCCATTCAAAGCTTCCATCGATTTTAATCTTCTGCATGCAATGACCGATCTGCCCTTGCCGGAAAATGAACACTACGACGACGACACCGGAAAGCGCCGCCGGAGGAGGAGTGTCGTTTTGTAGCGGTCTCAAGGCGGAGCTGCAGCTTTCTTTTGCGTGTAGTATTTTGAGGGCTCTTGTTGGTCGTTAAAGGGAAGAGGCAAACAGAATGGAGCCAGGCAATTAATTAATTAATTAATTAATTAATTAATTAATATATATACCTTTTTTTTTTTTACTTTGATAGACTTAATGTCTAGTTTAATTTGCTTAATTAATGAATCTAATTAGAGGACAAGTTTGAATTAAGGTTTTCTGTCTAATGTAATTTACTTTTAATTTCTTGTGAAACTAATTAATTATTTCAAGAAATTAATGGTTTTTTTTTTCTTTTTCTCTCGATGTTTTTCCAATAAATTCGTACTCGATCGTCGGACAAAATTAACTCTATTTGTCGCCGTCATAATCGATTAACCGTATGAGGTTTTGCATTTCATGAGTAGGAATTTTAATTTTCTGCTCTAAAGTTCTTGCTAGCTATCATAGTTTGCTGGAACTGAAACAAATATGGTTAACAAATGCCAAGAGGATTTTTTTAATTATTTATAATTTTATTATTAATACAAGAATTGTAGTTAAATAGTATGCAAAATATTATCATACTATCATTTTAAAACATATGTATAACTTGATCAAATATTACTCTACATTTCCACAAAAAATAATTTTGGAAATTTGCAATGCCCTATTGCCCTTATCCCACATTTAGTACAATTCACTTGCATAAATTCACTTACATTAACATAGATGTTTATAATTTGAAAACTGTATACAGTACAACTGTATTAATTTATAAAGATTTAACTATATACGTATATTTGATTATATATATTTATGCACTTGCATTCAACTCAAAAATCAAATTTATAGAGATTTAACTGTATACATATACTTGATTATATAAATTTAGGCACTTGCATTCAACTTTGAAGTGAGTGGCCATTGCCTCATGGCCCCAATTCTGATATTTATTGCTCTATTTTAGTATTCTTGTAATCATAAGATTCAAGAAAATAAGGCAAGCACCATTTCTAATTATTGTGCCTTTAATTTATATATTTACCTTTTGCCATATTTGAATTGTGAACTTAATTAGATACAATTTCTATACATTATTTTGGTGGTGCTGTTATCATTGTAAAAAATCATGAGGACTAACATACAAAATGAACATAAGCCGGCGAAAAGAGGCTTAACTTTTGTGAGGGATGCTTTCGAATTTTCGAAACGATAAGTGCTTTTAGCACCCGTCTTTTATCATTAATATCTGCTCTTAATATTTGTGTATTTTTATTCATGTGAAGTATGTATGAATAGCTAACAGTATGCGATACATATCGTTTTCAGTTTTAATAATACCGTTTCAACTTCAAATGTAATTTTTGACCATATTTCGTCTGAATTAGGCAAATGCAAATCACAAAATTTGCAGAAAAAGCGTACGGCAATAAAATTGCAGTTTATATTTATTATGTTTCCTGTAATAACAATACTTAAACTATAACAATAATTTCTCAAAAAAAAAAAATGAATATCAGAAGTCACAACTTTAAACCTAATCGGTTCGATTTCGGAATCTCCGGTTTTCTGTGAAGAGGACAGCAGCCTAACTCCAAACCTAATCTGTTCATTTGTGCAGAATACTTATCTTATATATATTACTAATTAATATAAATATATCCATTTATTGGATTTTAAAGAGTAGTAGGTATTGTGTGCCGGAACCTTTCTTGAAAGAATTTGAACTAGTTCTTTGTCACCCTTTCTTTACGGGGATTTCCTGAAATAACGTATTTTAATTTCGCGAAGTTATTAGCACTTAATTGCAGGCTTTCACTTTTGTAGTGGACTCGAGTAATATTGAATCTTATCAATCAAATATCTCAGTAACTCCTACTGTTTAGTCAATCTAACATAGCAGTCGCAAGCAAACGAGGCCTATTCATATCATTCTCAAAAAATATAAAATGTAATTAGATACAAAATTATCTGAAGCCAGCTGAAAAAGTATGTGTTGACTTAATTGACCACAAAGTCGAACAAGTGGCCGTAATCACTGATGAGGACATTATTTTTCAGGGTTTTTTTGCAAAATCCATCCTTGTGTAATTTCGAATGGTCAAAAAAGTCCCTGTGTTAAAAAAATTAGCAAAATCCTCCCTATGAAAATTAGTCAAAGCCAAAAAACCCCCTAACAGCCTATCATGTGCTGCACGCGCGAATTGCGCGACTGGGTGTTTATTTTTTACCCAAAATACCTAAATGCTCTTACAAATAAGTTTCAAAAATTATATATTCACCCCAAAAAATTTAACCCAGAAAATTCAAAAATTTCAATTCAATCCTTAGCATGTTCAAAACATCCATCTTCCCAAATTGAATAAAAAATGTCCCTCCAACATCTAACTCATCGAAAAACATCAATCTCAATTTCTACCTCCGAAATGGTATCATCGGGCTCACCCCCGACCAGAACCCGAATCTCTACCAAGTTGTTTCGAAGCTGGCAGGGAATGATTTGCAGAGCTATTCGAATTATGTAGGTAATTTGCAGAGCTTTGAGATGTGAATCTCCATTGGTAAATTGCAAAACTTTGAGATGCAGTGTGGGGGCGATTTCAATGGCTGGTGACGGTGGCGGTGACTGTGATAGAGAGTTGTCCGGGTTTGGGTGTTGGTGGGTAGGTTTGACGGGAAGATGAACAGTGCTTCAATTTTAACATTTTTTATGGGTTGGGTATTTTTTTTAATTTTTAATTTAGGATATTTTGGTCATTTTATCCAAGTCAACGGCAACAAAATGGGATAAGGGGCAGTGTGAATTGTAAATAATAACATAGGGGGTCTCTTGCTAATTATTTTAACACGAGGGCTTTTTCGGCCATTCGAGATTACACAGGGGGGTCTGTGCAATTACCTCTTATTTTTCATAATCGGAGGACCGGAAGAACATGACTTCTGCTTTAGCATTTTATTATAACGAACCACGCTCGAACACATTTTTATGTTCAATAAGATTGAGCTCGAGTTCGTCTCAAATAATAAATATTGATAAAATTTGCATAAAGATTTCAATTAACTCGAGTTTTGATTAGTCTTGGGAGCAAAGATTTAAATATAAACAAAAATAAAAAAAATATAGAAATTTGAATGATAATTATGCATCAAATATATTCTTCCAAGTAACACAATCAAGAATCAATCCCTCCTTTTTTTTTTCTAAGTTATTATTTAATTTATTCATCCAAATTAAACAGTGGAGAACAAAATCATTAGCACTATCTAAATTCCTCTTCTAGAAAAATTCCATTCTTCACACTTACACCATGTGCAATTTTCAAATTTTGTACCAAAAATATCCCACTGACAAATCTCTTATGTTTGACTCATAAAAAACAATTTGGACAAGTTTCAGTGTCTAACAGTTTTTCACTGTTCCTCAACCACTCCTACATTACAATGACTTACTACCATAAGAAACGTTATTGTGATCTGCTCTTGATCGTAAAAGCGTTTTTCTTGATGAGTTTAATTCGTTCCACGAGCTCTTCGGATGACGCTGCGATTCTGCTCCGAGTCAAGAACAGTCAACTCCAGGGAAAACTCGACGACTGGCTCGAGTCAACTCAGAACTCACCATGCGACTGGACTGGCATTTCTTGCGACCGACGGAGTAGCCAGGTAGTTGCTATTGATTTGTCGGGTTTTAACATTTACGGCGCTTTTCCGGCGGATTTTTGTCTGATTTCCACCCTTCAAAATCTCGACCTCTCCGATAATAATCTCGGTGGGCGTATTAGTTCTGATTCTGTTTCTCTATGTTCTCGTCTTGTTTCTCTCAACCTTTCGTCGAATAATTTTGTCGGCAACTTGCCTGAGTTTCCGGTGGAGTTTGTTAATTTAACAACGTTGGATCTTTCCTACAACAACTTTTCCGGTGAAATTCCGGCGAGTTTTGTCAATTTACGTAGACTCGAGTTTTTGTCGCTTGGTTCCAATCTACTCAACGGGCCGATTCCTGAGTTTTTGTCGGACTTAACTGAGTTAACTCAGTTAGTTCTTTCTGTTAATCCTTTCCTCCCAAGTCCAGTGCCGGATAAAATCGGACATCTAACGAAACTTGAGAACATGATGCTATCATTCTCGAACCTCGTCGGAGAAATTCCTGATTCTATCGGGGATCTCGTCTCTATAAAAAACTTGGACTTATCGCAGAACAATCTCGTCGGAAGAATCCCCGAAAGCATTGGCAGGCTGAAAAATGTGGAACAAATTGAATTGTTTCATAACAAACTCTCCGGCGAATTGCCGGACACATTTTCCGATCTTACTTCTTTGCTCCGTTTCGATGCATCGGAAAACAATCTGACCGGAAAAATACCCGAAACCCTGGCCGCTCTGCCGCTGGAATCGTTGCATCTCAACGACAATCTCTTAGAAGGTGAAATCCCAGAAATTCTGTCTTCAAACTCAGTTCTTTATAGTCTGAAGCTATTCAACAACAAACTCACCGGAGCTCTGCCGGAATCTTTGGGTAAGAATTCGGATTTGGAACTATTTGATGTCTCGAACAACAGTTTAGAAGGCCGGTTGCCTCGAAATTTATGTCACAGGAAAAATCTTCAGAGTTTGATAATCTTTGGGAACAAATTTTCCGGGGAAATACCGAATTCATACGGCGAATGCATCACTTTAACGTACGTGCGCATGCAAGAAAACGAACTCACCGGAGCAGTTCCCAACGGAATATGGAGTTTCGCCGGACTTCAACACCTCGAGCTGACGAGCAACAAACTAGAAGGTTCTATTCCACCTTCGATTTCAAGTGCAAAAGGCCTGGAACAGTTGTTGATCTCCCATAACAAATTCTCCGGTGAGTTTCCGGCGGAAATCTGCGATTTGGAAGAGTTGAAAAAAATCGATTTGAGTGACAACCATATTTCTGGCGAGTTGCCTTCTTGTATGAATCGATTGACCAAGTTACAGGAGCTCCACATGCAAAGGAATAGATTCACCGGCGAAATTCCGAAAGGAGTTGCCGCTTGGAGGGAGCTAACACAATTGGATTTATCGGGGAATCAATTCTCCGGCGTCATTCCGGCCGATCTTGGTAGTTTGCCGGTGTTAACATTCTTGAATCTTTCCAACAATTTGTTATCTGGGGAAATTCCGGCGGAGCTGACTAATCTCAAATTAAACGAGTTCAACATCTCGAATAATAGGCTTATCGGAGAAGTTCCACTTGGTTTCAACACCAAGTTTTTTCTCTCAAGTCTAATGGGCAATGCAGATTTGTGCAGTGTAGATCTTAAACCGCTTCCTCCGTGTTCGAGATCTACTAATCCGGCGTCAAGCTTGGTATTAGTCGTAGTTCTATCGACTCTTGCTTTCACACTCGTCGTTTCGCTTCTTTATCTCTTTATCAAAACCAAGAAAATCATCAACTTTGGTACGAGTAAAAGTAAACAGTCTTGGAAAATCACGTCGTTTGCGAGAATCGAGTTCAACCAAGAAGATGTTTTAGCCTCACTGACAGACGAGAACCTTATCGGGTCAGGCGGGTCGGGTCGGGTTTACCGGGTCGGTTTGAAGGGAGGGCAAGCGGTGGCCGTTAAGCGCCTCTGGGAGACAAGGGGGGACTCGTCTGCAGAAGTGTTCTGTTCCGAGATTGAAACATTGGGAAGAATCAAGCACGTTAATATTATTAGATTGTTGTTTAGTTGCATCAACGAGGAATATAAGGTGCTGGTGTACGATTACATGGAGAATGGAAGTTTGGGGGATGCTTTGTATGGGGATCGGAAAGGTGGGGTGTTGCTCGATTGGCCCGAACGGTTCGATATTGCAATCGGGGCGGCACGAGGGCTCGCATATTTGCACCATGACTGTGTGCCCGCTATTGTGCACCGGGATTTTAAGTCCAATAATATATTATTGGACGAGGAGTTGAGGCCCAAAGTAGCCGATTTTGGCTTGGCCAAGGTATTGAAGCACGACGACTTAGAGAATCAAGTCATGTCTCGTGTCGCCGGTTCTTATGGATATATTGCACCAGGTGATCGATGATCTAATATATCGTCTGTCATGATTAATTAAATAATTGAGCCTTTATCTAATTTTGTCGTTCAAATAAGGCAATAAAATGTTCGTCGTTTTAACATATTGTATACGTGTTGCAGAATACGGGTACACGATGAAAGTGACTGAAAAGAGTGATGTTTATAGCTTCGGAATAGTCTTGCTCGAATTAATTACCGGTAGAAGGCCAAACGATTCCTTATTCGGCGAGAACAAAAACATTGTCGAGTGGGTGAAAGAGATTGCATTGTCGTCTGAAAGTGGAGACGATAGTGGCAACGGGGATATGGCGTGTTTGGACGAGTTATTAGACGTTCGAATGAACAAAGACACAATCAAATATGGGGAGGTGGAGAAGGTTTTGAATGTGGCTCTATTATGCACTGCTGAATTGCCCACGAGCAGGCCATCCATGAACAGAGTTCTTGAATTGCTTAGGGGCCGTTTGCCAACTTATTAATACATGCAAGAAATTGGTAATTAATTTTTTTTTTCTTTTAATTATTTAGTGTGCATGTTGTAATAATAATGGTACATAAATTTCATTAAAAAGCAGGAGGCTATGTCGGACTTTAGAGTAAATGATGCCGGCTTGCCAGAAAACAAAATTCTTGAATTGAAAGTTATTATTATATCTACCGGCGGCAACCACGTGTACCCAAAATTTGTCATTCAAAAATCAAATTTGTCACTAACAAATTATTATTATTTCTCCATTTTTTTTTTATTTGGTTATAATTGATTCAAGTTTTAAAGAAATTAGGATTTACTATTTAAATGAGTTAATTAGTAAGTAGTAGTAAATATTAAATAATAAATAGTAATCACTAATCATGAGTCTGGAATCCGGCTTACGTAATCATGCAACGTGAAAAAGAAAAAAAAAAAACAAAATCCAACGGCCAAAAGAAGACCGAGTCGTCCAAATCAAAACCCGATTTTCCTCCCGCGCAGAGAATTTTTCAGATTATAGCATATTCGTTCCGTCAAACACGCCCTAAATATATATATACACACAAACAACCACAATTTGTTTGTTTGACTCACTCCTCTCTGTATATATCATCAGATTCACACACCTATTATACGCACACATCTCTGTATCTACATTTACATCAGCTTCCATTAATGGCAACCGCCGTGGCAGAGCCACCGTACACCCCGATGAATCTCGCGAATCCAAAACCGTTAAGAGTTTGTTTCTCCTACGCCGCCTACGCGAAGAATTTGATTCACTACCTCACCTCATCGAATATTCCGGTGGATCCCGGCCTCTCCGACGCCGAGTTCTCCGCCGTCGAGTCGTCTTTTGGTTTCACATTCCCGCCGGACCTCCGCTCCATCCTCCAGGAAGGCCTGCCGGTGGGTCCGGGTTTCCCCAATTGGCGATCCTCCTCCAAACAACAGCTTGAGATTCTCGCGAATCTGCCGATCCTTGGGATTTGCAAGGAGGTTTCGAAGAATGAATTCTGGATCGATTCATGGGGCGACCGGCCGGAGGATGCAGACGGCGCGGCGAGATTGGCCGGAATTTTGTTGAAGGAGGCGCCGATTCTCGTCCCGATTTACAGGCGGTTCTACATTTCGTCGGCGCCGTGCGTCGCCGGAAACCCGGTATTCTACGTGCATGGAGGGGACGTGAGGTTGTGGAGCTTCGACATCTCCGGCTTCTTCCAGCGGATCGAGTTCAGAATGAGCGGCGGCGGCGGGGAGGTTTCGCGGAGGCAGACGTTGTCGAGTCTGTTCGCGGCGCCTGCATGGGCGGCGACGGAGGCTCGGAGGATCGAGTTCTGGACGGATATAGCGGAGAGATCAGGGGGGAGTGAGGCGGCGCGTGGGTGGTGGAGTGGGGAATTGGGTGGGTGTTTGGAGGAGGTGTGTTGGAGGTTGAGAGATGGAGGGTGGAAGGAGGAGGACGTTAGGGAGATGATGATGATGGACGGCTGCGATTATAGTAAGAATAATAACAGTACGGCCGAACCACGCGATATCGACTGCGTGGAGAGGCGCGTGAAGGCACTCTCTAGCAGATTATTGCGTGCGGGATGGAGCACGGAAGATGTGGTGGAGTCGCTTGGATCTCCGGACGATTTTCATCATAACTGTATTATTGATGGAGACTTTTGCTTTGACTTCCGTATTACACCAACTTCTGATGCTCAAAATAGCCTCTCATTTTTAACTCACTAATTTGACTTTCCTTCAACAAAATTATTTAACAGTTTTAATTTTATTTTATTTTTCCTTTCATCCCATTGGTTCATTAGATTTGGTAATTAATAAATAATATTAATAACTATAATGCAATGCGAATAGCATGAAAATAAATCATGGCACTGAGATTATTATGCTAATTAAATTCAAAAACATTATTTGGACAACAAAATTAATATATTATTTTCAATAGACACAAATTTAACCTTTAACAACTATAAACTGCAAAAAGAAAAAAAAAATTGAGATTACACTTGACAGAAAAAAATTGAGATAACAAAGAAAGAATTAACGAGCACTGATGCGAAATTTCACATCAACGCGACGCTAGTAGCACCTGCGTACATTATGCAAGAGATTGACGAAAGTTCGAATACTATCACATTTGCTTTTTGCAAGAGCTAAAAAAAGAAGATAAAAACACAAAGAAACAAAAAACTTTTGACAACTACAAATAATTCGTAAAATAAAATATCTCACTATGCAGTGGCATCGAGGTTGTTGCCTTCGTTCCCAGTTTCCGGAAGGGTCTCGAGGTCCGTTCGAGCATCTTTCTCTTCTTGAGGAATAGAAGTCGACGATTCATCTGAAGAACCTTCCATTTTACTCTGCCCTTCGTCCACTGATCCATTACTGTCGTTAAACGAATTTGTTGTTTTCTCATCAGATGAGTTACTCTCGTTCACATTTGTAGTTTCGGAGTCGTTTGTTGTAGATGATTCCTTCGAAATCCCGTTTTCCGAATCCGAATCTGGTTTCTCATTGCTTGTGTCAATTTTTTCCGTTTGTTCCTTTAGAACGACATTATTATCATCAGTTGATGTGGTAGGGTTTTCATTATTCACCTCGTGCTTTTCTTCGTTGGCTTCAGTTGTTTCTGCCGAAGAATCGTGGTCGTTTACCGGCTTCGAAGAGTTACTGTTGTCCACCTCATTCTCATTCCCGCTGTTTGAATTCGAACTGGTGTCGCTATTTTCTGTACTACTAGAGACACTTTCTCCAGCTCCATTATTTTCCTTCGAGTCATTATTATTTTCATCGGTTTTTCCTTGACCCTCGGATCCCTCTAATGAACTAGATTTTTCGATTGAACCGTCTTCGTGTTTGTTGTTTTGTTCCTCGTGCTCGTTGCTGCTACCACTTTCATCCTTCCCATTGATCTCTTCCTTCCCATCATTCTTCTTTTGTGTGACTCCCTTCTCTTCTATTGGGTTCTCTTGTGAGGATTCACTTTCTTTCTCATTTATCTTACCATTCTCTTCGTTTTTCTTCTCTTTCTGCTCGTTTTCTCCGGTTGTTTCTTCACCTTTGTTCTCTTTGCTCTCGTTCTCTCCTGTTTTTTCTTCTCCTTTGATCTCTTTGATCTCGTTCTCTTCTTTTGTTTCTTCACTTTTATAATCTTTCTTCTCACCCTCTCCTGTTGTTTCTTCAGTTTTGCTCTCGTTTTCTGTCGTTGTTTCTTTGTTTTTGCTGTCTTGGATCTCACTCTCGCCCGTCGTTTCTTCACCTTTATTCTCAATGCTCTCACCTCCTCCACTTATTTCCTCACTCTTGCGCTCTTTGTTCTCGCTCTTGCCCGTCGTTTCTTCACCCTCTTTGTTCTCGCTTCTGCCCATCGTTTCTTCACCCTCTTTGTTCTCGCTCCTGCCCGTCGTTTCTTCACCCTCTTTATTCTCACTTCTGCCCGTCGTTTCTTCACTTTTGTTCTCTTTGTTCTCACTATCGCCCATCGTTTCTTCACTTTTGTTCTCTTTGTTCTCACTCTCGCCCATCGATTCTTCACCTTTGTTCTCTTTGTTCTCACCCTCGCCCGTCGATTCTTCACTTCTGTTCTCTTTGTTCTCACTCTCGCCCGTTGTTTCTTCACTTCTGTTCTCTTTGCTGTCACTATCTTCCGTTTTCTCTTCACTATTTTCTTTGCTCTCACTCTCTCCACCTGCTTCTTCTTCACTCTTGCCCTCTTTGATCTCATTCTCTCCGGTTACTTCTTCTTCACGTTTTCCCTCTCTGCTTTCACTATCTCCATCATTCTCTCTCGTTAGTTCGCTTTTAATCCCTTCACCATCCCCTTCTTTAACATCATCTCCTTTCTCCTCATTCCCCTTCTCTTCACTATTCAAACCACCGTTTTCTTCTTTCCCATTCTCATGCTCCTCATTTTCCTTTTCTGTACTCGTTTCACTTTCCTCGTCTCTACCCGTTTCCTTCTCTTCACTGTCCGTCGTCTTATCCTCATTCTCTTCTTCTCTGTTCTCGTTCTCCTTACTATCTTCAATGTCCTTTCTGTCATCCACCGAATTCTCTCCCTCATGCCACTGATCCTCCGGCTTATTTTCATCGTCAAAATGCGATTTCTCCTCCGTTTGATGGTCATCCTCTTTCTCCTTCTCTTCAGAAACATCTTCTTGTTCTTCTTCGATCTTCGGCTGGAGATCCTTTCTCCCTAACTTGATACGATCACTCTCCTCTTCAATCTTGGACAAAACTTTCGCATTCTCTAACGATGCCTTTTTGTCACGAGAGTGCTGCACTTGGTAGAGCAGCCATATCGAAACACCGAGCAAGAGACATATCTGCAGCACGTGCTTCACTTTGATCCCTTTGTTTCTCCCGCTCCTTCGAGGCGATTGCCTGAACATGATTTCCTTTGCTTCAACAAAAAAGAACCCGATTTTTGCAAATGTTTCCTGTCGAAATCATCAAAAAAAATTGTAAGTTTAGCTGAATCATTTGCAATATAAATTTACAGAAAAGGCAAACACCTATTTTCAAGAACATTAGATACAGACAAGGGCAATTGTTTAAGGGTGGCCAATCCTAGGAACCACTACCACCACCACCTTGTTAATGCAGACCAGATGTACAAAACGACAATTGATGTTTTGTCAATACCATATAATCTTGAATCTGCTGTAAAATTCACTTATTAATGTCATCAGATCTAAGTAATTCACAAAGTCAAGTGTTATTAAAGATTGTTACTCTATATCCAAACAAAACAGAATGCCTGCATTAAAGAGCTTCTTATATAGGCAACAAAACTCAATCAATTTGATCTTTGATTCATAATAAATGCTGAGACTGAACCATAACTACTGATCAACAAATTATTTGGACAACCCAACAAAAAACTCAAAAATTGCCATGATTAGCAAAACAAAAAAGGGCAATGAATAATTAAAGCCTATAAAACAGAACAAATTCCCAATTCATAACAGATCCATACATCTTCGCCGATCACATTGCAGAATTGATGAACAAATATGAAAAAAAAAATTAAAAAATTAAAAAAAAGGTCGAACCTGATGATGATGGAGGTGTACAGATCCCTGATTTCAGCGATGCTTTCGCAGTGATAAATATGCAATAAAAAAGGTGTAATGTGGATGAAATGACTTGTTTTTATGGGTTGCTTAGAAAAAGTGAAAAGGCGAAGAGGGGAAAGCGGCAGTCAGTTGCCCTATCAACATATTTTTTAGAAGAGAAGCAAATGAATTTTTTTCCAGAGGTTAAAATGAAACTTTCAGAAAGGAATTGTGAAATGGAAGAAAGATGATTTCCGCTGTGCAGATCTGGAATCTGCTTCAATGTGTACCACTACTCTGCCTGTATTTAATTCACATATATTACTATATATATATTTTGTGTTATTTGTATGTATACATTGACATAGATATACAGAGAGAGAGAGAGAGAGATTTTCGACTGTCTTCACGGACTCGCACGCGCGTTGGAGTATGTTAATTGTTACCGGACCGACACTTTATTTTATTAATAATCTTTGTAAATGTTACTCCACGTAATATCTGATGAATTTAATTGGGTTTCAATTCATTGTAAATTAAAAATAATATATTTATTTTGAATTCATAGAAAATAAGTTATTAATTAATTATTTATCAAAAAAAAAAGTTATTAATTAATCTAATATTTGGTCAAATTATGAGGTATGGTCAAATTATGAAAAAATCCTTCATATTTCGATAATTACAACTGTTAATCTCAAATTTAAATGTCTGCAAAATAAATTACAAGACAAGAAAATATAGAAACAAATAAATATATTTAATCAAAATTTAATGGGTTACAATCTTTGTTGATTCCTCTGATTCTTCTCCTAAATTTAATCCAAAGGCCGAAGCTTGTTCTTGAATTGAGAGCTTGATTCCTTCCTTGATTTGCGGAAGTAGATATGAATATCTAGAAATCGATTTGGGGATTTCTAGGTCTTGTGGATATGATGCCTTGATGAAGATATAGAACCTCCGCGGTTGTTGTTCTTCGTCGTGGCAAGAGCTCGAGACTTGAGAGCTTTTGAGTGCTTGATGTACGCCTTGCTTGATGCTTGTGTCCTCGTCTTGTATTTTTATACGCTCGGTTTAGGGTTTCTTGACTTGAAACTTGGGCGGTTGGGCTTGAACTCTTGCAACTTCATGTGGACGACTAGATTTTATAAGCTCAAATAGTTAACCCAAATGAATAAGAATTTAGTACTTATTTTGAGTTAATCCACATTACCCATTCGTGGAGCCCAAATTTAGTGTGGACTTCGATATACAGCCCAAATTTCTTACGGGCTTTGATTTAAGATCCAAATTGATAACCGGTTTATTTGGGTTATTAATTTGAAATTTAATCTCTAAAATTTGATATAAGTCCAAATTTATTATGGACTTTCATTCGAGATCCGGATTAATAACCAATTTATTTAGGCCATTAATTCGTAATTTAAACTTAAGTTTGATGTCAACAACAACCTGCATCCATCAACTATAAATATTTGTACACATCCACCTTTGTTGTATCAAATTTATTAGAATCTTCTAAATGATATGAAATATTCTCAATTTTGTACCATTTTATCTCATTCGAGCTCCACATTTTGAAACCATATGATCGTAAGATGTGTTTTTTGGCTTGTATATAATAGATTGTGGTGCGTCGGAAACTACATTTTCACACAAAACGAGTACAAACTAGAAAACATTCCACGAAATCTAAAAGATTATGTTGAATTCGACATCATATGGGTGGACGTGTAAGAATATTCATGGTCGATGGGTAATTATAATTATCCAACTATAAGAGATTTTTTTGTAATTTGACCATACTTCAAGGTGGTCTTAATATATCATTTATGAACTATTCAAGGATTTTGCTAGTGGGCCAAGCCCGTCCGATTCTCCTCTGTTATAGGAATGACGCATAATTGGGCTTATTGTAAATATTAGCAATTGGGAAGGCCCAAATCGGAAGTCAAAATCACATTGAAAGAATCCAATACGCTGACGTGTCATCTTATTGAGCGCAGAGATCACATTTCCAGGGTTGGCTTGGCTGAGAGACGGTGAATTCAATTTGAGTCGGCCACTCCATTTTATATTCTTCATTCTCCTCTTCTCACTGGCTATCGACTCTCGCCGGAAACCTAAAAATCAAAGCTTCAATCTTTATCACCATCATCGTCTAATTCCTGAAATTGCGGACTGATATACTCGAAGATGGCCTCGAAGCTTCTTTCAGCCGCTATTCGCGGCGGTAGACTCTGCAAGCGCACCGCTTCCCCCTTCCACCCCCTTTCCACCGCCGCGGCGGCGGCGGTGGAGCCTCTGGAAGAGGAGACGAGCGGCGTATCGATGAAGGGGGTCAAAATCTCCGGCAGACCCCTCTACCTCGATATGCAGGCGACTTCGCCGGTGGACCCTAGAGTCCTCGACGCCATGCTCCCCTACTACCTCTCCCGCTACGGAAACCCCCACTCCCGGACCCACCTCTACGGCTGGGAATCCGAGAACGCCGTCGAATCAGCCCGCGCCCAAATCTCAGCCCTAATCAACGCCTCCCCGAAGGAAATAATCTTCACCTCCGGCGCCACCGAGTCCAACAACATCTCAATCAAGGGCGTCCTCCACTTCTACAAGGACAAGAAGCGCCACGTCATCACCACCCAGACCGAGCACAAGTGCGTCCTCGACTCGTGCCGCCACCTCCAGCAGGAGGGCTTCGACATCACCTACCTCCCCGTCAACCCCGACGGCCTCATCGACCTGGAAAAGCTCCGCGCCGCCATCCGCCCCGACACCGGCCTCGTCTCCGTCATGATGGTCAACAACGAGATCGGCGTGATTCAGCCCATGGAAGAAATCGGAAAAATCTGCAAGGAATTCAACGTCCCTTTTCACACCGACGCCGCCCAAGCCCTCGGCAAGGTTCCGATCGACGTCGACAAAATGAACATAAGCCTCATGTCGTTGAGCGGCCACAAGATCTACGGTCCGAAAGGGATCGGAGCTCTGTACATGAGACGTAGGCCGAGAATTAGGGTTGAGCCACAAATGAACGGCGGCGGGCAAGAGAGAGGGATAAGGAGCGGCA